CCAACGTACGTTCATGTGTGTCTTGCTCACAATCGCCACTAACACATCGTAGATGGTCGCTGGAAACCGATACGAGCTCAAGCTCCGATCTGATGCCCGTGATGGCGCTCAGCCAAACCACGAAGAATGGGTCGTCGACGAGCAATGCCGACGGACCTACTATGCAGTCTACATCTTCTTCGGCCTACTGACGCTCACCTACAACCATACTCCTGCAATGGGTTTCAATGAGTTCGACACCTTGGAGCTGCCTTCTTCAGAGTCGCTCTGGACCATGGAGGTTTCAGATGACGAAGCCTGGCGCGAGAGTCTGAGTGCCTCTAGGATCATCACGTTCCGCCAAGCGCATGACAATCTGTTCCAAGGCGAGACTGCTCGTTACAGTGCTTTCGCCACACGCGTCATGATCAACGCATTGTTCCTCGAAGTATGGTACCACAAGCGTAGCCCTGAAGCTCTCCAAGACGTAGTCACCGAGTACAAGCTTCGCCTGGCCCTGGAAACATGGGAGAAGTCGCTTGAGCTCTGCGAGCCTGAGACGGTCGTTGTCCAACTGAGCGCTCCACACAAGGGACATCCCCTCATTTTCAATGCCATGGCGCTCTACAGGAATACCAGGGCCCGACTCGTGGTCGATCTCAAATCCATCCAGGAAGCTCTCCGCTATCACGACTCCTACGAAGTAGCTGCTGCCATGACGAATGCCCGCGACAAGGTCCAGCGTTCACCAGAGATGATCAAGGTCATCCAGGAATGCTTCGATTGCATCGAGGTCGCTGCTGTACAAGGCATACGCTGGGTTGCTCGAACTTCCGCTACCAACTGGAGCATCGAGCATCCACTTACCGGTATGGATCTGATGGTCATCCTAACGCTGTGGCTCTACCGCCTGGAGCACGACGAAGAGCCAGCTACCGAGGAGGAGCTAGCCATGTACAACAAGCTGCGCAACTTGTTTGACGACGACTCTGTGGATGTCTACGGTGCAAAGCTGAGCTCCACTGTCGCGCGACTATGGGGCAGCATGATCGACGAGGTCGTCGTCTGGGGGTATGTAAATGCTTATCTATCTTTCAGTAACCTGGCACTAACGATATTTAGTATCACCAAACTCATGGGCGAAGCTTTTAAGCTACATTCGCAAGCACTTGTTGGCTACGAAGATGCCATGTCGTCTCGATCTGGATCCGCCACGCCATCAATGGCTGCTGGTGGTGTCCAAGTGCTCGAGATGCAGATGGCCTACTAAGCGAGAGACAGCTTCCGAAGGTGGCCGCGATCTTCCACGATCTTGTTTCCATCTCGCGTTGCTTTTACAGACTGTGGATTTCTTCCTATATTTCGTCCTCTCCTTGCACTTGGGAGCATGGCAAGGAGTTTGGCGTCCCCAGCATCGGTCTATGGTTTATTTCATTTCATTTCATTTTCATATTTTTCAAGATCGGGGTAATACGGCGCACAGGGCGGGTCTGGTCCAGATTCCTACACTCTCGAGCTCATGCTCTACTCATTTGGCATTCTTCTAATACCTCTCCCTCGCTCATACCCATCGGCATTCCTGGACTATTGAAGGCTGGCCCTAGGTGCGTTATTGCTTCACTTCGGTTCTGCTACTAGCGCTGCCTTTGTTGCATTCTTGCTAATATCTATTTCCTTTTGCCTGTACTTCGGTAATGCCTTTCCTTGGTGGCATTGGGCTCTTTCTTTACATATACCATAGTATGTCATGATTCGACTTCGCGGTGACGGAGATGGGAGATATTACGGTAGTGGATATGAGGTGAAGGTGTAAATCGGTCTCAAATAGTACTGTATGAATACGTCTTCTTATGCCATCATGACTTGAACGCAAATTAATCTATGCCTTGCTGTGATGATCGTGTTCTTTGCGAAGTTGAGCAAGGGAGAGAGTGATGCGGTTAGCTACGTAACAAGCTGACACAAGAAACGGTATTGTCATTGACAAAACTACGACCCGAGAGTGTTTCGCATGATAAAGAATCTGACGAGCTTCATGCATTCTTGGTGAAGTATGATGATACCTACATGCGCACTGCGCGCGAATGGAAAAGCCACTAGTCCATGTTGCACAGACCACCGCTAGCGCGATGAAGCTCCAAAATTTCGCGAAAACCGACTTCAGCACGACGCATTACCAGCCACCACATCTTCGCATTTCTAATTCCTACCCAAAACCTACAGTCGCTTATCCACACAATGTCGAAAGATATCGAAGAGAAGAGGCTGAAGAAGGACAAGAAGGACAAGAAGGAAAAGAAGGAAAAGCGCGCAGAGACAGACGGCGTGTCCAAGAGCAAAAAGGACAAGAAGGAGAAGAAGGTCAAGGGCGATGTCGAGATGGTAGACGCGCTCGAGGCTGAGCTCGAGAAGGAGCCAGAAGTCTCAATGGTCAACGTCGTGGACGGTGATGAGCCGCGCGGCGCGCTCGTTCCCTTTGCCTTCCCTCTCGCAGACAACGACAAGGAGGTCAAGAAGATCCTCAAGACCGTCAAGAAGTGTATGTTTCCCACTTCATATGTGTCAGCTTGTTGGCGCACTTGAAAGAACAAGACTGACTTTCATCCTGCTACAGCCGCCAAGTCCAAGACCCTCCGCCGCGGTGTGAAGGAAGTCGTAAAAGCGCTGCGCAAGTCCGCTGCTTCAGGCGCCGGATCCTCCCTCGACGACCCCAGCGCCATCGTTGTCATTGCCGCCGATATCTCGCCCATGGACGTCATTGCGCATATCCCCGTTCTCTGCGAAGACCACAACGTACCGTACATCTACATTAAGAGCCGCGCGCAGCTCGGCGAGGCAAGCGCAACAAAGCGACCCACCAGTGTGGTCATGATTGGCAAGGACAGGATGGGCAAGAAGGCCGGCGAGGGCGACGAGGAGTTCACCGAGGCATACGGAGAGCTGGTCAAGGTTGTTGGCAAGGCTGCTAAGACAGTCAAGAAGTGAGAGCAATGCGACAAGTGGAGAAGAAGGTGATCGACCGTGTGTCGAGTGTATTGTTCAAAAGGGAAATGAGGAGTCTGGCGTTTTTCACCCATGGTTGGCTGATCAGTCCTCCTAGTGTTACTGTTTCAATTCTAGGCATCGAGCTAGGCTTGCAATATACCTCTACAAAACTTCACGGAGCTCGTGCAAACGGACAAATTGCTCAGCCGTCATCTGCTGAACGAGCTACATTCACGAGTCTCACTCATGAGGCCTACACAAGGCACTGAACGGAGCTCTCTGAAGATCGTCTGCAATTCGGGGTCCAATCCGATAAAAGAATGTTGGGGTTATTTACATATCAAGACAACCAAGTATAAACACGAAGAGAATTCGTTCACCACCCGCCCGCAGTTGACATTGTCAGTCGCCAGTTTACAACCAAGGCCCAAGAGCCCCTAGCCCTTCAATCCTCTCCATTTGAGCACAGAGCTCTGAAACAGCGCCTAGTTAGCAGCAGTCCACAGCGCCGGACCAGGGAAAGTGTAAGTCGTAGGGTTGGTGTAGATGTTGAACACGATACCAGGCATGTCCTTCGTGTACAAACTAGTACCGGGAACGCCAGCCGTCGGTGCGACCGAGCCGCTACCACCGACCTTGAGGTTCAAGCCTATAACAATACTCAGCATGTGATCTTCTTACACCGATAGCAGCCTGAAAGATGAAGGAACTTACACTGAGGGTACAGCTGAGCGCCATTCACGTTCTGCCCACCGTGGAGAGCAATGATCTCATGACGGATAACGTAGTTGCCAGGAGCAAGTTTGGCGGGAAGAACGGTAGATACCTTGAACTTGTTCTTGATGAGCGAGTCTGTAACCCAAGTTCCTGGGCTGACGATGGCAGATTGAGAGATCTTGGACCAGCGCAGAGCACTGGGGGTCAGAGTAGTACAGTCGCCTGTAGGAAAGAAGTGATTAGTAAAAGTACATGCTGTACTGGTTCATGTAGCTGACTTACCGTTGCAAGGCGCAATGTAGTTGATAATCGGCCCCTTGTGACTATCGGGCCAGGTGTTCCACTCGAACTCAATGGTGTCTCCCGGGTTGACGTTAGCGTAGAGACGTCCCGCAGTGGCACTCTTGTGGCAGTTGACGTCCGCTGTGCCAACGGACGCGGGCTCGACGAAACCGATGTCTTGGTTCAATGCATCCCAGCCTGCGGTCTGGGGGCGGCTATCTTTCGAGAAGTAGTACCACACGGGGTCGGAGCCGTTGGTGAAGGTGCCTTTTACATTGACACCTTTGACGAAGCCGTGGGCAGATGCTGTGTCGAGAAGGACAGCAACGGCGCCGAGGAGGAGTGCAGATGCGTACATCGTCGAGGAAGTTAGAGAATGGTAGCGAATGTTGTTGCTTTGATGCTGATCTGTTGCACTTGTATCTACCTACTCTTATATGGCTTCAAAGGACTTGATAGTCAGTATGGTGTCTCATGGTATTCCCGATTAGAGACGGAGCATATTGACCGATCGTATCAGGTAAAACAAGCCTCGTATAGTACTGTTAGATGACTACAAGTCATTGCCTAGGGCTTTGTAGCAACAACGGGCATAGTCACTATGGCGAAGCATAGCTTGTTGCTCAATGGTCACACACACGCTGCGCACCATGTAGCTTCCAAGATCTTTGATTGCTCATGTTTCCGGCCACAAGCGAAGAATCTGATATTACTGTGATATCGAGTCCGCATCCGAGTGTGGTTGTGGCGCATAGCGGCGCGCTCGCGTGTCCTGGTTTTCGTCTGGGGTAATCTATCCTCCCCGGGAAGCCGCAAGCGAGCAATCTAAAAAGTATAAGGGTAGCGAATAGTAATCATATAGCGTGTATCTTGAGGTTACACTCGTCACACGGACAGCTTGTAAGGTTGCGAATGTGGATGGGAATTTTTCCGTTGGCTCGCTTCCTATTGCCACAGCAGGAGGTGCACGTGGCGAGTACCTTGTCCACGACAAACTCTTGCCACTTCATTCCTGACAAACTCTCATCTTTTTCTCTCTACAGAGAGATCTTAAAGAGAATGTATGTACGAATCGATACCCCAGACGCCGACAAAGGTGCTGGATTGTCCAGTCCATTCTGGTCTGTGTCCATTGTAGACTCGAACCTGGGTGCTTGATCAAGCAAATGGCCTCCAGGACTTCTCTGACATGATTTCCCTGTCTCTTCCCAAATTGGGTCAGCGTATGTACGCCGGACGGTACGGTAGCACCTGCGCGATGTCAACATAACCCCTTCAGTAGCAGCAGCTTTCAGACATACCATCTCGTCCTTTGGCTTTTGATCCGGTACCGCTGTCTCCTTTTTGCTAGCCTTCTGTGCATCACTCTCCTCTTTTTCGCTCGCTTTCTGCTCGACCTTGACTTTCGGTCCCTTGTCGCCCACTTCATCTTCATCGTCCACTTCCTCTTCGTCGCTTATCTCTTCCTCTGACTCCTCCTCTCCTCCTGCCTCCGCAATCTCATAATCTTGCCACACTCCAGCAGTGTATACTGCTATCGCACGAAGCACATCGGCCTCAACATCCGGAACTGGTGTGTCCTCAGGTCGTATGTCGTCTTCGAGTAAACCTTGCCTAAACGTAGACAATTTAGTTCTTTCTTGGAATCGTATAGAGTATACCTGGATACTCACTTTACTTCTTCCAAAGTCTCATGAAGTTCATCCAGGGCCCTGTTCACGGTCGGGTTTGTGCCGTTACGATGCCAGTGCTTCGTGATACGCCATATGGTTTCACCCTTGACGTAACAGGTGTATGCCTCATGCCAGTCTTCTAAAGTGCATGCAAGCATTGTGAGACATCTCATACGGTGGTATCTAGGAATAGCGTGATCGGCGAGCATTTTGCGCAAGACCTCGGTACACTCATCGAATTGCTCTTGTTCGCGGAGCTCAACAGCAGCGTTGAAGACGTTCGTGAATTGGCGATCTATTGCATCCACAGTGGCCATCTGGGACGTTCATGGGGTTGATGTGGGGGTGAGTGAGAGAGATCGTATCTGCGGTTTGTGAACTGTTGATCTTATTGTGCGTAGCATAGCGATGCACGAATAAGAGATCTGGCTGCACGTGGCAGAAAAACGCGCCAGGACTTCTTCAGGCCCTACGTCATTGTGTGGCACCCGGAGGTGAGTGACAGGTAAGAGGCAGGAACGTTGGATGCAGAAAGCTGAGATCTGCTGATAATTTACTCTCTCATGTGGTGTTTCGAAGTATCAGACCTTGATTGAAGGCTCTCATGAAGGTCATTCCCCCGCACTTCTTGTCATTCTCTCCCTAGACAGTTTTCATCCAGCTCGGCTCCTCCTGCTCAAAAGACTTGAACCCTGGAGCGGGAATCTTATCAAACAGTCCACCCTTCAACGCAATCTTATCACCAGCTAATACAGACGTGATGGGGCTTTCTCTTGTTAGCTAGGCTCTCCCAATGCTACATGGATCATGAGCTCACCACCCGCAGTTGCTGCAGAATTGACGAGTGATCGGATTCCCGCTCTTCGTGTCGTTGTCTCGGTAGTCTTTGAGATACTTTTTCGGATCGTTGATTGTGACTTGGGGACTGTCGAGGATGTATACGATTGACCCGATGCTTCCTCCTGCGCGGCGGCAGTTGGCGCTTCCACGGTCAATATGGCGATACAGGTAGAGGCTATATTGATGATACATACCAGTAGCAGATAGCAGACTGCTCAGGCATGGAAGGCATGGAAACTTGAATGCTTCCGCAGTTGCAGCGTCCCTCGGCCATCGTGATTGAATGAGAAACGGGGTTGCGTCGGTCACTAGTATAGAGCTTTGCTATTCTGCAATGCTGACGAGAGAATTGGAGGTAGGAAGTCCTTGAATAGAAGATGCGAGGGAATGTCTTGCAGTAAAGGGGTGCCAATTACACGATTGACGGCAGCAGCAGTCTGGGTCTTATGACGTGTTATCCATAGCGTGGAGTTCGTGATCAGGTGGAGATAGCCTCGGTAAACTAATCAAGGCGAGTCGCTGCCAGTAACGCGCATCGTGAGTTACTATTGCCGTCCAGAACCGTGTTATTGCTTCATTGAGTTGTCGCATCTAAGGTTCGGGACGCGATGATGACGCCTCGGACGAGGCATGCTTCCAAAGGCGAATGATTTTTGACTACCTATCTACATAGGTACCGGGTACTCAATGGAAGCCTGGTGACATTCCTAACGCGGTCAGTTGAGGCAACCTTCTGTATTCCATGATAAGATGGGGTAAATGGCCTCCATCGATTCGATGAACCAATCGGCATTTTGATAGTGCTGTTACTGATCCGTCGCACAGGGGCTTCGTGTATAGTAGAGTGTGTAAGCATTACTCATCCTCTCGTCCTCAAAACAAACATCACGTCAGCTGATGAAAGGGCTTTCATAGATGAGGTTGTAGAGAAGATCAGTAAGATGAAGTGAGGTTAAGGTATAATATGCGTAATCCTCAGAGGCATCCGAATCAGGCTAGCGCGCCATTCAGTCCTAACGCGGCGCGATTCCGCGTCTACGAACACGAACAACACGGCGATACAACCGTACAACCACAAAGCGGAGAAGATACTACACACCCTTTCGCAAACCTCTGACACTAGAATCCTACCCCAAAATGGTAATTGACAACCCTGGCCTCTTGATAACAACCCATACTAACCCCCACAGACGCGCGACTCAACAGCAACCTACCTCCACATGCACTCGTCGCACCACGCCGACCTCCTCGAGCAATTCACCAACCTCACCTCCTCACAACTCACACCGGAAGACATCTACATCCCGCCGCACCTCCAGCCCGTAAACCCCGAAGACGAAGATGACGTCGTCCCAGACCAACACGCCGCATTTGGCATCCAGCGAGCGACGCAGACAAAGAAGGAACCGACGTGGCGGGATCTCGGACTAGATGAACTACTGAGACGAGGTCCTATGGTCGGCGGAAGTGGGAGTGGCAGCGGAACGGCGGTTGCGAGCGGTGGTGGGGTTGTTGGGCAGGGAAGGGAGGAGCCGTTGAGGTTGGCTTTGGCCAGGCAGCCGGGTGCGAGGATGGGGATTAGGGCGGGAAATGGGAGTGGTGAGAGCTCTGGGAGTGGGGGTAGTGGTGCGAGTGGTGCCGCTGGAAATGGATTGCCGCGATGAAGGGAGACTACACACTTAAGGGCGGTCGCTGAAAACGGCGGCAAGACACAGTTTACATCTTTGCGAAACAAAGATACGGGCAGTGGTCGGTTCGTGATGGAGCCCTGACTAGAGCTGCCGTACCGACATCCGAAGGCCGCTCCGGCAGGGACGTTGGCGACGGCTTCACAGCCTACTACGAGCGTCGATGAAGGCTACACGAAGTGGCGCAAGTTTGCACATACTCAACACTGCGGATGGGTTTATTGGGCGTCATTACGCGAAAAGGGTGGACATGGAAGCAGCGCGGAAAATGAACCTATGCGCGTAGGATTCAAGACTTGTGCCATGTCTTCAGTCAAGGTGTGACCAATTCGCAAACGGACAGGACAAACTTCCATTCACAAGATTCGATACGAAATGATACACTCATGGACATTTCACATGGCACATTGGGTGATGAAATGCAACCAAATGTCGAGATGTGTTACATGCTATTTCTAGATAGTGGTTTTATATTCAGACCCCTCTCAGCCCACCTGATACGTTCGGACGCCCTCCTCTGTCCTTGTAGTATCAACGCTTACTTGCTGTGTGCGCAAGCACATTATCCTACGCGCACGGTCGCAGTACGCTTGCCATACAAACACTGCCTTGATCACGCACCACACATAGTGCCGCCAACGAATCCGACTGACACCTCCGTTGGCCTGAGGCATCTTCGCTTGAACGATTCTGTGCATCAATGCCCGCGCTAGAGCCTCCCAGTTTGCGCATCGACCGCAGGCGTCACCTACTGTACCCTCAAGATCTCTGATACGGTCGCACACGAGCCGATAGAAGTCAAAAGCATCGGCGTGCTTGGCGAGCGGCGCGTCGGACCGCGCGAGAGACTCAAGATCGTTGAATCGAGGTTGTGCCGTTACAAGTTGTACTGGGTTGTGTCGCTTCATATAAGTAGAATCTTTAGGCACCCCCTCCTCTTGTCGCAACGACTGATAATGGAAGCGACGAGCAACGTTGACCATAATACTGGGCAAATCGTGGATCATAGCTTCTGTGTTCCACTGGAACGGCATCGGCGCGGTAGTCGTGAGAAGTTCTCGAGTCTGTAGGTGGATGATTCGATACGTCTCCTTTGCCAGAGATGTTGGTATATGAAGAGCTAGAGAGAGGCCCTGGATGCCGACATCTCGTCGACCGTCGTCTGTGTTCTCCAGCTCATATAGAAAAGGAATCTCAATCGGCTCGCGACACATGGGGCGAAGACATTTTCGCTTTCTTTTGAACCACACACTCAGACAAGAAAGGCAGAAGACATGTCCACGCGGTGTCCGGATGGGTTCGACAGTTTGTTCGAGGAAGGTCTTCCTGTATGCTCCCGGTAGTTGGCTGAGGAAGCCAGGTGTGTCTCGACGCCTGCGCCGATGCTTCCATATTCTCGACCACAGACAAAGCACGTCGGCTCATCTCGTGGTGCTTCCGTGGGTGTAGAGACGGCGAGTACGCGATCAACAACGTCTTGGTAGGTGGCAGATGGTGAATCCATGCTCGGTTGAGGTCTATAGTTGTATGAACGCATTTAGACTACTGGGTAGCCCATTTATCCTCCATGCCTCTGGGTTGCCACCAACGAACAGCATAATTCCTGGTTGCATTGAATGATCGCAGACGGGGTCCAGTCGCCACAGCCATTCACCTTCGAGCCGTTTAGCCCAGGCGATGTGTGATGCCATATATGTAAGAGTATAACCAACACAGCTTTCACTCATTCGTGTAAAGGTCGTGATATAGTATCAACAATGGATGTACTTGGTATATAGCATGTGAATGCTGAGTTGAGACAATATGCTGCTCAGTCATCCGTCAGATCAATACACTCAACCCCCACTGGTACCTTATATGTACTTGTTGGTTGTTTGTTTGGCATGACAGCAAGCGAAGAAGTGCGTGGCTCGTTTGCGTCCTTTGCAGGGTCGGGAGATGTCGTTGCGAAGTGTCGAAGCCGAGCAGCGCGTATCTCAGCTGCGGTAGGTGCAGGAGACGGTGTAACTTGATCTTCTGTATTTGGATTTGAAGGTAGCGCTGTAGGCATTGGCGATAGATTAGCGCGCGGGGTAGGGCGTGACCAGTCGGGTAGGTCGACTGGCTCCCTTCCTATACGACCTGCATGAACACCCCTCATTGGCATGCTTGATATGCGCGATTCATTCTCCACTCGTCGGAGAGTTTGAGAAGCTCTGGAGGGCACTTCCGCGCTGAGTGCTTCATCAAGCGACCAAGCAGGTACAGAGGCCCCGTGTACGTCTCTACCGGCTTTTCTCAATGCGAAAATGCTTTCATATCTGCCACGATTTGAAGACGGTAAAGTGGAAGACCTTTGTATTGAGGGGATCTTGGCGCCTTGATCTTGCATGCTTAGCCGCAAAGCTAACTGCAGCTCTTCGTCTTCTTCATCTGGGATATCGAATGGCAATGTGTTTGCTACAGGATTCCGGAAAGGATCCGCAACGGGTGAATCGTTCTCCTGATCTGACGGCTCAGGCGAACCAAGATCAATGATATGAGATGTCTTCGGTTGATCCAATGCAAGTTCTTGAGAGCGAGCGTTGCCTGGTAGAGAAAGCCCACCCTCATCCTCAGAGTCAGAGAGTGCAATATAATCGAAGATCTTTTGTGCTGTGGGCGTCATTTGCGTATTTTGAGACTTGGCCTTCGCAGCTGGTCCTCTGGATTTCCTGGGAGAAGCACTGTATGTAGACCGGGTAGCGGAGATATCGTCTCTTTTGTTCGTACGTTTTCGCTTAGCTGTGCCTGAAGCTTCACCGTCTTCC